GGGCTTGAACTCGGGGAGTCGTACAACTCCAGGCCAGTGCATAAGCCATTGGTTTAATTATTCAGCATTGTATAAGCTCTGCATAAAGCCTGCAGTGCTACGGCTTGCATTTTTTTAAAGCAAAAGGCATAATTTAATTGGCATTTTATCTAACCTTGGATTTTCTGCAACTAAAACTTAGTCATAGTATCTTGTCAAAATTCCCTGATTAATATAAGACACCACTCATTTGGCAAAATCTTGCTTAAGCCATGTACTCTGTAAATAGTTGAGCTAGTATGACAACACTAGAGGCAAATTAAAAAAATTAAGTACCATATCAGATGACATGGTTAATTTTGGAATTGGAAATCTTCATAAGTTACTCAGCAAGTGGTATTAAAATCTTGAACCCTCCTCCTCTCCATTAATTTTTCACAGGCAATTAGATAACTTAGTTGCTCAGTGCAGCTAGCTGCTGGTTTTTGTGCAGTATGTGAACAGTTGCTCATTTAAGGGATTAATTTTCTGCAAACCAGATGCATGACAAATACAATGGATGTGTAACTCTTTACAAGAATTTTATTGACAGATAAATTATTGCCAATTGAGCAAAGAAGCATGTTAGGATTGCAGTGCTTGGGTGCATTCACTACTTGGAGACAAAATCAGGATTTGAAGGCCAGCACTCTTGAAATTATAGATCTGCAACCTGCTAGAAGTGGGTCTAAAAAAATAAGTCCTTTTCACTGTTGTGAGGTAATGGACTTTTGGGGAATTCATAAGTCATAACCTCTTTAACCCTTCATCGCGCAAGGGGCCCGAAAATTTGAAATTCGAACTGAACTCCCTATGGTGGATAGAGTAACTCAATACAAGGTCACTGATCCCATATAAATTGATTTCTGATGGTTAGTTTTTCGAGCAATTGCCAATCTCCGAAGACCGAAAATATTAGGCTGCTTCCCGAAAAAGGGATTAAAAAATTTTATGTTGCAAACTTGCAATTGTTAATAAAACACAACAAAACAATTTTTTAAATTTAATATACAAACAGACAATATAAAAAACATAAATGGAACTTGTATCAAAACATTTTTTAATTGTTAAAAAAAAATATAAAAAGGAAGCAAATATCAACAATGCCAATTGCAAAGTGATGCAAGTTTCAATCCCTATATTCCTGAGATTCATTTGGAAGACCAATGATTCTATTTTTGCTAAATGGCAAGTTTGGAAGTCTGAGAAACAATTTCTATCAGTCTTTATGCACAGATTTACTTTGCATACACTACACACGAATGACGATTTTACCTTTTTCTTCGTGTTGCTGCAATACTTGCAAGTAAACGGCCTTTGCCTGCCATTGGGAAGTGCATTAGACTAATTCTTCCTAACTGTCATCAGGCATTTCTGTACGTTTTCCCCTCCCAGGTTTCACTATGCCAACACCATTGGAAGTACAGGGTGGAATTAGTTGGTGAAGGTCTTGGAGTTGTTCTTAGGATGCTCCCTCTAAGGTTTTGTCCTTTAGACCTTGCAATTTCAGAGATAAAATTCCTGAAATATTTTCAGTTGCATACACTTTTGCTTTATTGCTCGAGAATCACGGCAATAAAGCACCCCATGCATTCACAACAGCAAGATCAAGAATATAGGCAAATAGCCGCATGTACCAACGTTTTGATTTCATTGGTGTTTTAGAGATGCACCAACATTTTGCTTTTGTCAATACCTCCCATTTTTTGCATTATAGTTCTGATGACTGCAGGGCACGATATTTGCTCTTTCCTCTTTGAAACCCTTGTTATATCTGTCAACAAGACTCAGAGGCTCGACCCCAATATCAGTTGTCACTAAAGTCAAAAACTTTGGTGTCCTTCCATCTTACAACAATGACACCATCATTGTTGTTGAAGCAAAAATTGCCCCTGACCAACTGTTCCTTTCCATTTGTTGATAGGCGCCAGATGTGGCTTACCACATCTATTGTCACGTACTGTTCCAGTGTATCTGCATTTTATCTTATCTCTTAGTAGCTTGACCAAAGGTATACTTGAAAAGAAATTGTCGCATAGATTGCTGATGTGTTTTGTCTTGTTCATAGTTTGTGCAAGTACCAGAAAAATCTTTGTACTTATTGGAATTTTAGATTCTACCTGTGGCAGCTGTATGGATGTGTCAAAAGTTGTTGTGCCTTGATACATGAGTATATCAGTATGAGTCCATCTTGACTTGCACGACAAAAAAGTTTGAACCCCACTTATCTGGTTTTGTTTTGATGTACTGCCTTGGGTTTCCAGCAGTTTTACCCTTGAAACCAACCATGACTTCATCAATAGATTGCTTGGGGTTTGTAGCTGGAATTTTCAAGCAAGCTTGGGTTAGTTCTTTGTAAAGAGGCCTTACTTTGTAGAATCTGTCTTTATCCTTTTTGTGTTGTCATTGAATGAATATGACTTCTAAGGTACCTAAACCTCTTGGGACGCCATGCTATCCACAACCTGGGGGGATCTAAAAGCAGCTTTCCAAAGTCTTCGAGGATGGTAGTGAAGAAATTTACCCATGAAAAAAAAAAATACCTATGAACCTAAAGATCTCTCAGAATCTGTTGAAAAAGTACTATTTACGTCTTTTTGCCTTGCATAAAAAATTTGTTTGATTGCTATGTTTCTATTGGAGGAGTAACGAACATACGAAAATAACTCTATGGAGACCCCTAATTGCAAGAGGCTTTCATGTTCATATGCCGGCCAAAGGATCATTTTGAAGCCCATTCTACGGTCCACTGAGATGAAACTTGAGACCCAATATTTCATGATCTCTTCCTCACCGGTATTCCCAATCCTAAAAGTTTCTTTTTCCTCATACTTTCTGCTTTTTGGCGGGCCTTTCTTCTTTCCTTCTCATCTCCTTGACATCTCTGCATCCTGTGCATCCGGTGGCAAGTATTCCATCACCACTATCCAGCAATTCTGGTTCGTCTCCCTCTGGTTCCGAGTCACTGTCTTCATAAACGCAGACATACCTCGACCTGCTGGTCGACTGCTCCCCATAAAACAGCCTCTCATGGAACTGGAAGGACAATAGAAACCTCCTGTATAAATCCAGACCACTACAGAGTTCATATATGCAATTGAAAATTTTTTATAAATATTTATTTGACTATAATTGGGACATTCCCGGAACTCGCGCAAGACCGAAAGAATTTGGACTAAAATGCTTGCACTTTTTTCAACTGCATGCTACACTCATATTATGCTTCACATGGACTTTAGGTATATATCAAAATATACCTAACTATTCTGTAAGCACTAAACAAAAACAATCAGTACTTACCGACATTGTAGAATGTATAATCCAAGAGTAGATTAGTAAGGGTGGAGGGAAAAATGCGTGTGTTTTCGAAGCCAAGCCGCCAGTGTTTATATTTTGATCTCTCAACCAATGGGAAGGCGGCAGAAGCGAACTGTACTTAGCTGAAGAGACTCAGGGAAGGCTTGTGATTGGTTGGAACTAAAGAACGGGAAGCTGGCCGCGCGGGGCGCGAAGTATGACACGCGCCAAAAACACATAATCAATACCGAATTTTTTCGGCCAAGATCGACAAAGGGTTAAACAGTTACTGTTTGCTGATGATACTGTGCTTATGGGAGATTCTAAAGAATAGTTGCAAAGGTTAGTGGACAAGTGTGGGAGGGTGTGTAAAGGTAGAAAGTTGAAAGTGAACATAGGTAAGAGTAAGGTGATGAGGGTATCAAATGATTTAGATAAAGAAAAATTGGTTGTCACATTGGAGAGAGGGAGTTTGGAAGAAGTGAATGTTTTCAGATATTTGGGAGTTGACGTGTCAGTGGATGGGTTTATGAAGGATGAGGTTAACCATAGAATTGATGAAAGAAAAAAGGCGAGTCTTGCGTTGAGGTATATGTGGAGACAAAAAACGTTATCTATGGAGGCAAAGAAGGGAATGTATGAAGGTATAGTGCTACCAACTCTTATATGGGTGTGAAGCTTGGGTTGTAGTCAGAGGGTTGAAGAGGGGTTGCTGAGGTGGTTTGGTCATTTAGAGTGGATCAAAGTAGAATGACATGGAAAATGTATAAATCTGTAAGGGAAGGAAGGTGGGGTAGGGGTCATCCTTGAGAAGGTTGGTGCGAGGGGGTAAAGGAGGTTTTGTAGGCAAGGGGCTTGGACTTCCAGATTGCGTGCGTTAACGTGTTAGATAGGAGTGAATGGAGATGAATGGTTTTTGGGACCTGATGAGCTGTTGGAGTGTGAGCAGGGTAATATTTAGTGAAGGGATTCAGGGAAACTGGTTATTTTCATATAGCCAGACTTGAGTACTGGAAATGGGAAGTACAATGCCTGCACTTTAAAGGAGGGGTTTTGGATATTGGAAGTTTAGATGGATGGGTATGTTATATATATTTATATATGCCGCTAAACTGTTGTATCTGGGCACCTCTGCAAAAACAGTGATTATTTATGAGTGAGGTGAAGATGTTGAATGATGGAAGCATTTTCTTTTTGGGGATTTTTTTTTCATTTTGGGTCACCTGCCTCGGTGGAAGATGGCCAACTTCATGGGGAAAAAATTAATGTGTATATATTTATGTACTTTTATATATATGTATATTTATGTATATTTATATTTATTTTCTATTAACTTTTCTTGCACAGAAATTACCGAACCTAAGTCCATGCGCTATTAAAATTCAATAATGTCCAATAAAGTAAACATGAATAGAGCTATATTCAGATTGTTATTCTTGACATTTATTTTTTGATTGAAAACTATTGTCATAAAGGGCCATGTTACCTGTCCCTTTCAAATGAAGTAGCTACTTGTTTTGAAAGCTATATGGTTCTTTTGCCTTCATTAAATAGTTGCTTTCCATCATTTTTACATTTTTAAATTAAGCTTTTATTTTAATGGAGTCATTGATTATTACTAAATTTTCTCTTTTCATAATTGATTTATTTGAAGCACTTGTTTTATAAAAAATTTCTCTCCATGGATGGCAAGAGGCAAAGAAACTGCAAGAATGGGTAAGCAAAAGAAAGAAGAATCCAAGAAAAGACCCCCAAGTGACAGCAGCGAATCAGACTCGGATTCTGGTCCAGATGACGTGAGTTGGCATGTTGTAATTAAGTTCAAAAAATTCATGTAGGTTGGAAATTTTAACGAGTCCCCTGTATCTGGAAAGCATGGTTCCAGGGCCATTCCAGATACTGTAGTACTTTACTATCATGATTATTTTCCAAGAAGATGCATTTGGGTCATTCCATGTCAAGTGGTCTGATTTTAGAAAATTGCCCCACCTCACCATCATGGATTTTGATGGAACTTGGTGTGCTGAAATTGAACCCTTTTCACCATGTTCCTCAACCCTAGGAAATTTTGGTAATTTTGAATCAATAATTTCTATCAAAATAAGAAACTTTGCTGCCTTACACAACTTGTGCCTAATCCAGTGGAACTAATATGGATTTACATTTTTTTAAATTGACATGCTGGTCGAGTGCCTCAAATGGGGTAAAAACGTCAATGTGTCAAAAAAAAAAAAAGAAGTAAGTTTAGCCTTTTCTGGCTCTTGTAATAAAAATATTCCCATGAAATTTCATTTACTATTTTGTGACATAACCTTGTTTACATATATATAGTGTCAGCTTTGGAGAATGCTTCATTCCTTTTCAATTACATTTTCACATTTTTTAAAACAAGTAGAGAATACAGTATTTCCTATGTCTTTTGCAAAAAAGAAACCTTGAAACATTTTCAAGCTGTCCAGTATAAAAAGTTGCTTCAGTTTTTCGTTGTGCCCATATAATGTCCAAAAAATAAGGGTCAAAATTCAACTGGTTACTGTAGCTTCAATGCGCTGTGAAAATCAGCAGTATGGTTAACTTTTTAACTCTGACTGTTGAGACCCCTGCTCAAACTTGCTCTGTGTCGAACAGTTTAAATAAAAAAGTTTTTTCTTTTGAAATGAAGAATTTTTTCCCCGATGGTATTGACACCAAAAGTATGAAATTTGATGAAAAACTGCTAACTACGCTCTCGTGTAGTTAGCAGTCTCAGCGATATACACACATTGCTGATTTTGCCAAGTATGAGCCCTATTTTTGGCTAATTCTATTGTTCCAGTCGACCAAGCTCGTAGCTATTTCGCTAGAACTCCATTTGTTAATCGATTGAATACAAGAAACCACCCATTTATCGATTTCAACTAGCCATTAAAGTGGTCAGAAATTGGCAATTTGGCTAATTTTGCAAATTTTGGAAGATGCGAATTTCAAAATAGGGTTTAGAATAAACAGTGCAGACATTCCTGGCACTAAAATAACATTCTCTGTTCATTAGTCATGTCTCCAGGCCCCACTTATTAGTCTTGCTTTCCATTTTGAGTTTTTTATTCACACAAAATAGATTTACTGTTATGCAGACTACTGCATTATTGTAATAAGTGTATAAATGTCAACCCATTCATGTCTGCATATTAGACTGGCCAGTTGGACACTTATTGGACGGTGACGTCATTTGTTTACTCTTGAACATCGGCAAAAAATCAAACATTTCTGCTACTTTGAGCTCAATTTCAAGGTGCTTTTCTTTGTGAAACCAAACAAAATCATGTCTAATTTCTGTAATATATCTTCCATTCTATCAGATGAGACCAAGAAAAAGTGAATACAACCATAAATACTATACGAAAATACACCTCGAATTCGGCGTTTTAAACTAAAAACATGGTGGGTTTTATTTTCTCATGCACTGTGCACTGCAGGTTTTTTTTTTTATACTGCGCACACTGACCACACCGACCCATTCTCTCACATGTAGGTCTACCAGCTTTCTCCCGCTGGATTTAAAGCCGCTAGAATTTTGGCTTATTAATACGGCACCAACACTGGCTTGTCGGCCATACTAATCCAACACCAACTGTGGAAGTGTTAAATTTAATCAGTTTATCCAGATCTCAATCTTTGAATATTTCTTTGAGATAACGAAGTTCTTCATTGATGGGACAAGCTTGGCATCACTGTAGCATGCAGTCTCTAGAGTTCAAATTGCAAACTTTTTTTTTTCAAGTGCTTTATAGGCACTTTATATTGGCTCCTTGCAACATGTTTAACATTCTGATGTATGGTACAAATGCGAACAAAATGGGTGCCTGAAGCATCAGTTGTAATGCACTACTTTGGTCTGAGCTCACAAAATTTTGAAGACCCAATTTCAGCGCCATGCCTTTCATGATACATATATATAATATATATATAATAATATAATATATTATAATAAAAATATATATATATATAATATAAAATTATTTTATTTTTTTTTTTTTTTTTTTTTTTTTCCCAACAAGTCGGCCGTCTCCCACCGAGGCAGGGTGACCCAAAAAAGAAAGAAAATCCCCAAAAAGAAAATACTTTCATCATCATTCAACACTTTCACCACACTCGCACATTATCACTGTTTTTGCAGAGGTGCTCAGAATACAACAGTCTAGAAGCATACACATATAAAGATACACAACATATCCCTCCACACTGCCAATATCCCAAACCCCTCCTTTTAAGTGCAGGCATTGTACTTCCCATTTCCAGGACTCAAGTCAGACTATATGAAAATAACCGGTTTCCCTGAATCCCTTCACTAAATATTACCCTGCTCACACTCCAACAGATCGTCAGGTCCCAAGTACCATTCGTCTCCATTCACTCCTATCTAACAGGCTCACGCACGCTTGCTGGAAGTCCAAGCCCCTTGCCCACAAAACCTCCTTTACCCCCTCTCTCCAACCCTTTCGAGGACGACCCCTACCCCGCCTTCCTTCCCCTATAGATTTATATGCTTTCCATGTCATTCTACTTTGATCCATTCTCTCTAAATGACCAAACCACCTCAACAACCCCTCTTCTGCCCTCTGACTAATACTTTTATTAACTCCACACCTTCTCCTAATTTCCACACTCTGAATTTTCTGCAAATATTTACACCACACATTGCCCTTAAACAGGACATCTCCACTGCCTCCAACCGTCTCCTCGCTGCTGCATTTACCACCCAAGCTTCACACCCATATAAGAGTGTTGGTACTACTATACTTTCATACATTCCCTTCTTTGCCTCCATAGATAACGTTTTTTGACTCCACATATACCTCAACGCACCACTCACCTTTTTTTCCCTCATCAATTCTATGATTAACCTCATCCTTCATAAATCCATCCGCCGACACGTCAACTCCCAAGTATCTGAAAACATTCACTTCTTCCATACTCCTCCTCCCCAATTTGATATCCAATTTTTCTTTATCTAAATCATTTGACACCCTCATCACCTTACTCTTTTCTATGTTCACTTCAACTTTCTACCTTTACACACATTCCCAAACTCATCCACTAACCTTTGCAATTTTTTTTAGAATCTCCATAAGCACAGTATCATCAGCAAAAAAAATAACTGTGTCAATTCCCATTTTTACATTGGATTCCCCAACAATTTAATCCCACCCTCTCCCGAACTCCTCCACCCCTAGCATTACTTTCCTTTACAACCCCATCTATAAATATATTAAACAACCATGGTGACATACACATCCCTGTCTAAGACCTACTTTTACCGGGGTAGTAGTCTCCTCTCTTCTACACACCAGATCCTTCCCTCTTCATACATTTATTAAAACAAATTCCAACACTTCAACACTATATCCCCCCCTGCTTTTAAATTTCTGTCTGATCCCATCAGTTCCAGATGCTTTCCCCTTTCATTTACGTAAATGCCTCACGTACCCTCCCCCACAATTACATTCTGCTCTTCTTCACTCCTAAAGTTGGTATACCTCCCTGACCTGTGCATGAAATTTAAGCTCTGTTCTTCCTTAACATTTAAAAGTTCCTCAAAAGATTCTCGCATCTACCAATACTCCATCTCCCCAATCTCTACTTAACTCCCTACTCTGTTTTTAACTGACAAATCCATATTTTTCCCTAGGCTTTCTTAACTTGTTCTAACCTCACTCCAAATTTTTCTTATTTTCATTAAAATTTCTAGACAGTGTGCCTCTCCCACTCTATCATCTGCTCTCTTTTGCACTCTCTCACCACTCTCTTGACCTTTCTTTTACTCTCTCATATACTCTGCTTTCTTTATAACACTCTGCAACTTTGTAAATAAACCTCTTCATAAGCTCCCTTTTTCTCATTTAATCACACCCTTTACTTCATCATTCCACCTATCACTCCTCTTGTATGTATATGTATATGTTATATGTATATGTATGTATGATATAATGTATATGGATATGTTATATGTATATGGATATGATATATGTTAATGTATAATTATTATAGATATTATATATATATATATATATATATATATATGTATTATATATATATATATATATTATATATTTTTAGTTATATATATATTTTATTTTTTTTTTTTTTTTTTTTTTTTTTTATTTTTATCACACTGGGCGATTCCCCCAGGCTGGGGGGCCCGAAAAAAGAAAAACTTTCACCATTCATTCGCTCCATCATGTCTTGCCAGAAGGGTGCCTTCCACACTACAGTTTTTAAACTGCAACATTAACACCCCTCCTTCAGAGTTGCAGGCACTGTACTTCCCATCTAAACCCCCCCCTGGACTTTCAAGTCCGGCCGCAGGGTCTTCCTGAAATCCCTTCATAAATGTTAACTTAGCTCCACTCCACAGCATCGTCACAGTATTAAAAACCATTTGTCTCATTCACTCCTTTCAAAACACGATCAGCATGCCTGCTGGAAGTATAAAGCCCCTCGCACTCAAAACACACTTTACCCCCTCCCTCCCAAACCTTCTAGCGACCCCTACCAGCCTTCCTTCCACTACAGGATGATACACTCTTGAAGTCCATTCTGTTTCACTCCATCTCTCTACATGTCCGAACTACCTCAACAACCCTTCTCAGCCATCTGGACAACAGTTTTGGTAATCCGCACCTCCTCCTAACTTCCAAACTACGAATTCTCTGCATTTTATTCACACCACACATTGCCTCTGACTGACATCTCCATGCCTCCGCCTTTCCTCGCCTGCAACATTCATCAACCCCACGCTTCACACATATAAGGCGTT